TAAAGCGTTAATCACACAGAACCCATTAATGAAGCGATACTGAGTAGAACCCTCAGGATAGCCTATCGCGTTCACACTGCACAAAACCTGCCATAAGATGCATATAGTGAAAATCTTCATTATGGATTTCTGTACAGAAGTCTCCATTTGGCATAACCAAATCTCGTTCCTGAAATGGAGGAGCTCTTGTATCACCTGAACTATGGTATGCAGTAGGAAAGGGTTGAGAATTTGCTGAGAGTGATGATATATATTGTACTAATGGTTTAATGTAACAATTATGCTGACTAAGCCATTTAGCAGCTGCAAAAATATTTGGAGTAAGCCAGGTCTCTTCTTCATGTGTAGATAGGAAAGCACCAACAACTCCAGAATAAAGTTTTAATGCACGCATATTTCGTGAGAATTTTACATCACCAATAAGCTTACGATATTCTGAATATGGATTGGAGCCTGCACTTCTTCCAAGGGAGCAATGTAAGAATACTGGAGAAAGAAATCTTCTTTGCATTAAAGGAATGCACTCAATTTCAGAAGGTATATGATGTAATTGAGGGCATAAATATTTTTTAGGATTTTTCAAACAACTGGGACAAACAGATATTTTTGAATTCCTCATGTCTCCAGAAAAGATTAGATCAACTTCAGGGAAGTTAATTTGCAAGGGATAAATCTCATTCTCATCATAAGAAATCCACTTCGCCTTTTTAGGATATAATAGTCGAGTACAATATACGCATGGCACACAAATATGTTGATAAAGAATGTTATTTTGAAATTGTGTGTGTAGTTTACACAAACGTGTGTTGGGACGCCAAGGAGAAATGGACAAACTTGTCATTATTTCAGAATTATTTGCATTTACAGCAAAGTCAACTGATTGCATGCTAGCAGACAAATAATTATTGTTCAGATCCATATGAGAATCTTTCGTTAGAGTTTCCATAACTACTGCGGGTCCTTGTTCAAACGGTAACTGAGGTTTCAGCGAATCCGGTTGTACGAACTTATATATAGGAAATGTATGTGTCGACATTGTATAGAAAAAATTAGATAAATTTTAGAACGTCAAAAATTGCACGGTTGTTCAGTGAAAACGATTGTTTAAATAATTCAAATTCGGGGGGGGGGGGGGGTACTTTATTTATAATAATAGTTTAATAGAAAATATATTAGGAGCGCTAAAACTTGGGTAACATGTTACAAAATTTATTTTAATATGTTGTTGTGTCGATCTTACTTATGTCTATACAATTACAATGCAGTTCTAAACAATGTAATCTTTTAGTTAATATGTAACGGTTCTATCAATAACCCAAACCCATTTTACTTTACAAAAGAAAGAAATGTTTATCAAAACTGTCAATCATTCTCAACTATCGAAAATAATTTAAGTTCGAAATTGCATGTAACCATATTATTTGCCATACACGTTTGTATTTATAAAATATATTCTGTTACCATTCTTTTTTTTGTTTGGCGTTATCTTTTTTTTCACATTTCTCTTCTCAAAAAAGAATCAATGGACAACACTCAAACACCAACAAAAGTAACAGAAATCACCTGATCTACTATCAAAAAAAAAAAAGACCAACTAACCAAAACTGACGACACAACCAAGACATCTACCAACAAAGAGCCAATAGCAAAACAAACCAGAAATAAAAAAACCACTTAATCATGACAAATATAATTCATTTACTTTTACTGGCTGGCTCAGTTTCATTTTTACTCGAATAATTTAAATATCAGTTCATTAGTTTTTACTAAGTTCTCAATGCCTTTAATTGTCACTTCTTCTCTTCTAATTTCAGCATTATTTTCAGATATTTTGTCAGTTAATTCTTTAACTTTTTCTTTTTGATTTTTAATTTTCATTTCCAGCCCTTTCGTTTTCCCTCTTCAGCTTTGAGTTCAGCTTGTAATTCATTTAAAGTTTTGTCTTGATTTAGTTTCTCTAACCTCACAATAGCCACTTGAACTTGATGGAAAGCCTGAGAAGGCCTACCTATCCCGACCGCTATTGCAGCTATAGAGCACTACATCCAGAAGGGTTTTATCGCGATTGGATCGATAAAACATACGCCAACTAAGGGTGCGACACAAAGCCCTGACCCTGACCCTGACCCTGACCCTGACCCCACATCAATCCCGTCTCCTCTGATCTCTCCAGTCCACAAACATGCTCACCATCTGGAACGTATTCACCACAAGAGCCTTCAGACACAATCCCACTCCCAGCCATGATGACATTCTTAACCAACTTCTAGGATGTATACTCTTTCTACGCTCTCTAGATTTACAGATAGTAATAGATCCACTTACTATTACCCCCTGGATTCATCCTAACAAGATTCAATCACTCATTCACATCTCTAAAAATAGATATCTACCTCCATCTCAATAACCCCCACCCCCTGAGCTTTTGTTCTCTTCCTCTACATATGTAGATAGATAAAAACAGCCTAAACTGGCGCTTTAGCGAGCACCTTGTTGTGAATAAAAGTTCCTCGCGATAGGTACTAATTTTTTGGTCGCTTACTATTACGCAAAAATAAAAACATCTGTGATGCATCACCACGTGACCCATCATTTAATCGTTCTGTTATTTAAACCACCATGCTGCCTATTAACCACATTAAAAGTCTTCGCGTCTCCTTTATCCTTTAACGCCTGTTCTGGGGCACCGAAGCGTAACAAAGACCTCGATGAGCCTCTACGCTCGACACCTGTTCTCCCATATCAGGTCAAGCTCGCCTGTGAGTATTCAGAAAACGTGCAGCCCTACCGGTTTACGCGCATTTCACTCATGTGATTGCACGGAATCTTTCTTTTTTAGAAAACCACTCAAACCTTGCGCAACCCAACTTTGGTCTTAAAGCGTCCAGTTGCAACAGCACCGCTCTCCGCACAGTTTAAACTAAATCCCAACATGTCAGCCTTCAATTGTTTGGTTCACGGCGAAACTCCTCCTGTCGACCGTGTTTTCACTGTTGAAGTCGAGAAGACCAAAACAGTTGCCATGCTCAAGAAAGCAATCAAAGAGGAAAAGCCAAATAATTTTCGCAGCATCGACGCCGACCAGCTCGCTCTCTGGAAAGTCTCGCTTCCTCTTGACAGCAGTATCGAAAAGGTGCTCAAAGAACTTGTGCTTGAAGATAACGTCACGAAGGGTGTTCAAAAATTGCTCCCAGCGAAGAAGTTATCAAGCTATTTCACCGAAGAACCTGCCGAAGAACAGTTGAATTTCCAGTGTGATTATGATATAGAATCAGATTTCAAAAGTGGTGATGCTGCAGGTGGATAAGGG